CCCAAATATTCCATTTCGCATTAGAAATCTGCAATTTTCTTTACACTTCACATCATAGATTTGATGTTCTAGAGTTGCACGGTGAGTCTGGCAGAACACCGCGCCTGCCCCAGGCTGTTGGACGCACAGCATTTGTAAATCCCAGAATCCCCTGGTTGTACTTGAGCAAGGGTGAGTGTGCAAGTGCCGTTCTTATCATAATGCATCTGAACGCGTCTGGTCTTCTCCAGCGGCGCTTCATCAAACAGCCAAACCACTTCAGGTTCAGGATATCCTGCAAACAGAAGTCATTTCAGAGAATTATGGTCCAATAAAAACCCCATTTCACAGTCTTGTACTGCAGGAGGATCTTGAAAAGATGCAGCAATTTTAAACAATCAATCACACTAGCCATGCATTTTCATTTCTGCTGGTTTGCAAAAGTGTCTGGTATCACCTACTTTCAAAAACATGAAAAATGCTTTTTTGCCAAACACTAAGCAGTACAGTACCTTGTATTGTACAGGCCAGGTGCACCGTGGCTCCGCAGCTCTCAGTGAGGTCATGCAGGGCTCGCTGGAAACATGGTTCACTCCATAACTGTTTTTCCAGAGATGCCACAGCTTGTTCGGCTTCTTTCCTCAGAGCATTCGCTGAAATCGCAGGGACATCATAAGAGGGCAAACCAACAGAATTGCAAAAGTAATGGCTTTCTAAACACTGCATCAGTTGGACAAACAGATTCTCACGTGTCTTACCATCTACAGAAATGGAGGGAGAATGCAGTGCATCAGATTTGCTGCAGCGAACCATCCTTTTCAGAGCAAGCAGGGCTTTACCGGTTTTCTGCGAGACAGAACAGATGCGTGCATGATTCGCAGTTTTAAAAGAGAAAAAGTAATATTTATGACCACCTGAAAAATCAAGAACCATCAGAGATCTTGATTCTAAAACAGCTGCAAGTAACTTCTTAAATTTCATACCTTCCATTTCCGTCGGGCCAGGAACCGTCTCATCTTGTCTTTGTTAAGGGATTTGGTTGATCTGGAGTTTGAGTCATCAAATAAAGCTATCCAGGGATGAGCCAATGCTTTCTCACATGATAGTCTTGTTCTAGGAGTGTAAAAATGGAAT